GAACAGCTGGTAAAGTTAAACGTTCTCTAGGGAAGCAAATTTTTAGGATTGGGTAAAAAGGAGGGTAGATCGTGAAAATCACGAGGAGAATTGAGGGGAGATTTACTCGGATAACCATCTGTAACCATCATGACCTTAGCCCCTACTTGGTAATCCTACTTCGAAAAATGATGGAAAAGGAGACGATTTTATGGCAGACGTAAACATCTTAACAAGGGAACGAATCCCTCGAGAGAGGATCGAGTCGTGTATAATACCAGCATCGATCACGTATATTGACATCAATCGTGATCATTACAAACCAACCTTTAAACAAATCCTAATTACTTACATATATTCTAAATTTAGATTTTAAATTTAGATAATTCTAAATATTATTCATTTTAACAAATTAATATTTATCAACTTTCAAATTAGAAAGATTAAAATCTATATTTACCCAAGATGTTCGATTCTCTGTTTCATTCACACAGTGCTCACCCCACCAAAAAGATGGTCGTGAAGAGGTTGGTGAAGGATGGCAGGTTGGAGATGACCACTGGGGGTTGGGTGATGACCGATGAAGCAACGTCGCACATCTACGCCATGTTGGATCAATTGATCGAGGGTGAGTATGACCATCTTTTGAATTTTTATTATCTCTGAATGCATCAACGTTCATTGAACGATATAAAACGATATAAAATGAAAATCGAAATTCTATACATCGTAAGAGACGATTTTAACTCTTTTTATTCAAAATTCTTTCTCGCATTCTTGGATGGTCATGAAACTAGCAAGATTCGACAATTGTCACGTTTAACGTGGAAAACGAACCAGGTTTAATGCCAGAATTTTATTATACCCAAGAATTCCCCTGATTACAGTTGAGGCTTCCACGGTACTAGCTACGCCATAATAATTACCGTTCTCTAAGTACATCCACCGGTTATCGTCGTCTCGAGGCCATTAAGCACGTTCGTGATCCGAGTTATGACGTTTGGGAATCGCTCTGACAATCCTGAAATGTTTCTTGGAGGACTAATATACGGAATTATCCAAACTATTGTTACCTATTGTCTTGCTGAATTGAATGGAAGAGGACCAGAAACGGGTTAAAAAATTTCAATGATAACTATTAAATTATCTATCAGAGCAATTTTTAGATAAATCGTATGAATATTATTCTTGCTTTCATTCAGAATTAAATGTATCATTGAGAATTTCTATTATTTTGGCAGTTTAGTTAAAATTTTTAGGTTAGGATCGTTTCGATTTATGTTAGCTTCAAATTATTTGTTCAATATATAATCTTTAGAAATATCGTACTAATTATTAGCATTTTACTCGGAATTAAATATAAACGATATATTTAAAATAGAATTTCCATTGAATTCGATCGAAAGAATTTTGAGGTTAGGTTCACTTCGATATAAATTATCCGATTAAATACGATCTATCATAAATAATTGTCAAATATTAATCGTAGTTTTTTCGATGGGAATCAGAGATAACATCGAATTTACCATTGTATTTAAACTGGAATCACTGCTCTCCACATTTGATTCGACTTGCCGCGTTTGATCGATTTAGGCCAGTTTTCGAAATCCTTCGCGTCTGTATTTCAACCGCTAGCGAATATAGGAGGATTTGGTGGTAACGTGTTGCGTTTTCGACCGGTGCATATTCACATACGGAATATTTGCCGAATATATCTGCGTGCAATGGCCGCGGGCACGCATATTGACCGACCGCGGCTGCCCTGGATATTTAACGTTCTAAGCGCGAACCGACCGCATACATATTCAGCAGCCTAATAATTGGAAGTTAATATAGCTAGGCCGGTATTATTTCAATGGAACGCGTGAATCGGCTGCACAAGCTGGTATGTAAATTACAAATCGATACGTCCTTGAATTATTTAGCTTCCGCTGATTAGCGAAATCTCAGATTCGATACATATATTCGACTTGAATGAAATTTGACAGTGTTAACAGGGATCTTAAATCTTGGAAATATGTACATGTTGTTGTATATTTTATTCGTCTGCGTTTATTAATATAAACAAATATTCTGATATTTATTCTTCTTTTTTTTTTTATTTGAAATCAATATAATTGTTTCAAAGTTTTTCAGCTAAGATTATAATTACTAGATTGATATTTATGTCTTTTTTTTTTCTTTCTTGATACAAAATATCAATAAAACATATCTATTTAATCTTCAATCGAATACTCGATCAATTCTATATTAAATTATATGATATAATCGCTTATTTGAACAATCGCTATAAATATAATTGTTTATAATCTAATCGATCTATTTCTATTTTCGTAAAATTTAAAATTTAAAAATTTTTAAAAGATTCTTGAGCTCTTAAGATAAATCAAAAGATAAACAGATATACATACACAACGATAAATAATTTTCGAATTCTTCATTCGAAGAATACGAAATAATTCTAATTTAAACTTTTCCAATCGTGAATTCGTGGAACCTGCCCCTTCATAGCAGTTCTAGGGTTAAATTGCCTTCATTTCCTTGGCAACCTGAGCAACAGAAAGCGAATTTCTCTCTTCCTCTGGCAGCCTCTGAATCGCTAAGAATCATGGAAATCGTTCTCGATAAAGGATCGAGAAAGATCATTCGAAACCACCGGTGTACTTCCCCGGTTTACTCATGAATCCAGTGTAAATATCGCGGAATAAAAGCGTTTACGGTC